GAAAAATAGAGAAATCAGGACATTCGGGACCAAATTACTCATCTTTCTGAACATATTTAGAAGAATGTATTTGTTCATGAAATTTCAGAAGAAGCAGCGGGTTTTTTAACTGAAGCTGCACTCCACACAGCACAGATTACATATTCAAGTAAGCAAGATAACACTAGTAAGTGCAGATAAACCCAATTGAGCTCTTGTGACCATCGGAGATAAGAAGAGATTAGACGTGAAATTACAAGCTTGGGGACAGACATTATCAGATAAAGACATGCTTCCACTAATCATCTTGAAATGCAGGACTACAGAGCTAGAGTGACATGGGGGATGAGAAGCCCCAAAAAGTTGCATATTCGACAAGACAAAGACAAATGCCTTCTGAAAAAAAATGACCACATGGAAGACAAAAGGCAGCACCTCCATGTGACATAAAACAGACTCCATTGCGTCTGTCTAAAAAGTGATTGTGGTTAGCTCTTGTCTTTTCCAATAACTGCATCTGAACAAGACAAGCAAGAGATTTACATAAAACAGATTTTCCAACACAACATGACCTTGTATTCAGTTGTTGCACGTTGACGGACATGCTGGGACTTGATAGATGTAATATGGCTCTATTGTGTGAGTCGAAGGGAGGTTTTTTTGGTCATATTGCTCAGGCACTCATCCCCTGTGCAGACAGCAGCCTCAGGTATTTCTCTGCCTGTCCACCCCCACCCTGATTGTGACTGACTGTCACATGAAAACTAAACCTTTCCCAGATTCCTGTTTCAAATATGCCATTTGTGCCAGCTTAGCAAGCAGACGAAAGACGAACCTTAGGAAATTTAACCTCTAGCCCTGAAGTCATAGCCCACGTTTCATTTGCAAACCGCTGAGCTTACTCTTCAATTCTCAGGGAAACAGGAGAGTGGGGTGGGAGTCACGAGTGTAGCCATAATGTTCTGTGGTGCAGAGGCTTCAAACGAAATCCTTTCTTTAAATTCTTTACATGAGTCACGTTTTTAGAGGTGTTGTCCAACCTGATAAACTCATTCACTCGATTCCACCTCCCAAAAAGACATCATTTCTGTATTTCATCAGACTGAAGCAATATTTAAAAATTTTAGGCACTGAGCAAAACCGCTGAGGCAAAAAGAGTCTCACTGAGATCCAGATGTTGTCATTTTTTTCCATTTATAAATCCTGAATTTCAAAATATGCAGCCAAAGATATAAACAAAATACCTATTAAATTAAGATGTGTCTACATTAAAAATATCTGTTACTGCTTATCCCATTCTAGGGCTGTGCCTCATCATTCCCATGAGAGAGAAAAAGTTCCCAGGATCTTGGTCAGCCATATTTGGTATGCTAATACCCACTCAATCTGACACATTCCCAACACACAGGAACAGGTGTCTTCAAAACAAGGCAAAGTCTTAGCGATCAGGGTATCCTCTTTTGTGGCTCCACAAGCAGCAAAAGGGGAAAATTATATGGTTTGGGAAAACCGTGGCAGCCTGAGCACAGAGACCCAAAACACACACACAGCACTAGTGCTGAAATGTTAACAAGTAATTATATGCCTGGACTGCACTATAGAATAGCGATGAGACATAATAAAACCAACGCGAGTCAGAGCACAGAAGGTCATGGCTGATGTGCAGCTAGACAACAAACCATTCCAGGATCTAATAAGGTGAATTCAGGGGAAGCTGAAAACATTTAACTGAGCTTCCATGAAAGGAATCTCTGTATAACTGATACAGCATCTAATCAGATATGGAAACTCACGCTGGATGAAAATGTGAAATGTGTTTGTGTCTCACCCATCAACATGGCAACTGGGAGGAGTTGAAACATCCTGACTCTGAGACGAATATAATGCACGTATCTGCATCTCGGTTACTGTCGCTCCTCTGACCGCTCGCTCACAGCAGCTTTCTGTTCAGCTCTCCCGTTCCACATGTGTTAGCTGTGAGCGGGATTTGTTTAACTGTCTGGAAAGCAGCCACTGTATGGTCATTTCTGTTGTGATAATTGCCTTAAGTACAGGTTAATGTGCGTGTACCCGAGCTGCTGGGCGAGTGAGCTTAACGTTGTTTGACGCTGACTGCGAGTTACTTGAAAACTTTAACAAGGCTGGGTGCAGGCCACGAGAAAAGCCTTGACTGGAGGCAGTTGCCTCCTATGGCTTCATATTCAGCAGTCACACTGTGGCTCGAAGAGTTGTTTGTTCACTTTAACTAATCAGTAAGGACATTACGCAAATTATAAATATGCTGTGTGTGTGTGTGTGTGGGGGGGCAACAAAGAACCTTGGATTGTGTTCAGATTGAGCATCCTTTTAGCTTTATTTGCGCCTGCTGGTAATCAGGTCAGCTGTCTAACCATGTGTGACAAGAGAGAAAGCAAAACAAGCGCAAAAAAAACAAAAAAACAGCAGAAAATCCTCCAACCATGATGGGAGGAAATATTACATCTGTGACTATTGCTAACAGGCATGAAATTTATGAGCATACACTCATCGTTGGCCTATATTCTGTGTGGCTTCAGACTTGTCTTCAGTACAGTATGAAATCATGTCAGAACACAGCACAAAGTTTTAATGACCTTCAGAGTGCACAGATAGTGTGAAATGTTAAAGGATGCTTAGCTTTCTTAGAAGCTTTTCTTTACTCTTAGATAAAATGCGCAGCCCGTTGGGTCTTTAAAAACCATCAGTGTGATCCAACATGTCTTTGAACGCAACATGACAAATTACCTCTGACTTCGGAGATTTACAGTGGCACCCCGAGGCCAGACATTTATCTGCTCAGCCTTGTACATGTCTTCATATCAAAGAGGCTCAACCTCCTCTCGTGGCTTTGAAAACCCCAAATCAGCCATGCAAAATACCAAGGTGGTGTTATTATCCTGAGATGATTACTCTTGGAAAGTTCACATGAATTACATAACATAATATCATATTGCAAGCAGGTGGGTGACAGACACCATGTCCTTTGCTGCAGCAGCAGCAGCAGCGTTGCATTTGCACATATTTTATTTGACTAAATTCTCCTGAATTAAAGAGTGTTTATAAGTGCTCTTGCTTTAGTGTATTTTCAGACACTGCTACAGGAGGTCACTGTGTGTACAGTTATTTGCTCATTTTGAATGCTTTTGTCACCAGACATTTCCAAAACACTCATAACTACAGCAAAATCTTAAGGCGCCCTAACGCACAATAGTTCTGTAAATAACTTAGTGCACAAATATTCATTTAAACTCTTGACAGTATGTGAGTTTTGTTTACCTGTTCTCTCCTTTTGCATTGGAGGGCGGTGGGTGCAGAACAGTTTGGTTGTCCTCCATGTCCACGACACATTTTGTATTCAGTTCAATTTCTGCAGAGAAAAGTTTGTTTGGAAAGTGAAGCAGAATGCGGGGGTGTGAAGAATAAAATCGGAGTTACTTTGGCCTTCTTTAAACTATTCTCAAGTCTGACTTCAGGCTCACAACTCAAACTGAAAGCAGCAATGGCGAAGAAACCAAAAGTTTATGGTAATGTGGCACGAAGCCAAGGAGACAGAAAAGGAGTCTGCAAGCAGAAATCGTCGTTATAACACTTACCCCTGCGGTTCATGGGCCGAACTCTCACTGCAACTTTTACCTTTGTATCCGACATTTTCGTCCACTTTTCACTCCCACCCTGTCTATTCGCCCAGCTATCAACGCAGAGTCTCCGACAAGAAAGCCCGGCTTTTTGCCAGAAAACAGGGCAAAATAATCTAGCTAAACAATCCCAAAAGAGTCCGATCCTCGATGAGAAGTGATGGGAAAGCGTTCATTTTTGTCTTAGTATCCATCCGGGTTCGCTTCTTGTGCAAATCCAGCACTCAGCTCCAGCCCCAGACAGCATCCCCACCGCCATCTTCCACTGGGAGCACGACTGCTATCCTCTGGCAGACTGGAGAGGCTGTGCCAAAGAGGGGGAAAGGATTTACGCACCCCGCCGGCGCATCGGCGCATTGGGGGAAACCAATGAACGAGAAATGTGAGCGTGTGTGACAAGTTAGTTCACATGCATCAGTGAGCATTGAGAGGCAGTGCGGAGCTAGGAGTCAGCTTTAAACAGTTGTTATCAAATATGATTTTTGGCTACGACTTATTGGCGCTTAGTTCTCTCACACATACACACTGAATTGTTTAATTATTTGCATTTTTGGTAAGCAAGAAAAGGGGTCAAAAAATTTACAGTTATATAACTTTATTATAAGGTTTAGCAGAATCATTTTTTGACCCACCACCTCACTTCTGTTGACGTAAAGCCTAAAAATAATGTCTGTTTTTCACTCTTATATCCCCAAGCTGCCAAATCTAACCGTTACATTAGCATTTATTCTGGGCTTCTTTGAATTTCTTTTTAAAGTTTAAGTTTTGCCATTTGTCAATCACCTTAAAGTTTTGCATTAAAAAGCTCACACACACACACACACACACACACACACACACACACACACACACACATATATATATACACATAATTTGTAACTTCTGTTTTAACACATGTGATATAATCTAATTTAAAAAGTCTTCTGTTATACACGGAAAAAATAAACATATAATCTGTAGTTGTGTCATATAACGTTTATACTATCTATGTATGGTCTCACTGTCTGCTGTTAGCAGCTGGACCTTTATTTCTCAGATAGTTTCAATTGGCATCATTTTTCAAAAGCCTTGGATCAGTTCAGAGAATGAGAATCATCACATTGCTATATTACACGTCATTAAATAACACAACATCATTTTCAACAACTGCTACAACATTAACACAATAACAGACATAATTTCATACCTGACGTCCTGCTGAAAATGGTTTCACCATATACAACCTTTTGTTTTATTATTATTTTGACACTTTCAAAGTAACACAATGACATTTTTACACTCTATCTAAAGTAAAACTTGACTTGTAAACTAGTCACAGAAGGCAACTCAAACAACAAAAAAAAATAAATTAATACAACCTCTCATCACTTCATCCTGTGATAAGCTACATTTCACTTCACTTTATTTAATTTGTCTAACTTGAACAGCTACTTTGGGATTGTTCATACATAAACTATGTCACAGGTCCAGCATCAGATTTGGGAGAATAAATCTTCACTGTATGGTCGCCACTGTCCAGTGTAATGAGAAGGTTGTTCAGTAGCGTTAATCCAACAGGGCGAATAAGATGGTCTCCCACAAGAGGAGTACGGACTGGGCCACTCTGGAGCTTCCCTAGGCTCCAAATCATCCCCTGGTCTGAGTCAATCACAATTAGATCTCCATCTCTGTCGAACGCCACACCTGAGATGCTGAGCCTCACTGTGGACTGCAGGGTCAGGCTAAAAGTGTCTGTCTGGTAAAGGAGGTGGAACTCTTTTGTAAACACCCTGAGCCTTCTGTGTTGGTGTCTCTCCGTTGGATTGCTGACATCAGTTAGATGCTCCGTCACTGCAGTGTTTCCATTCACGCAACAATAGGCCACCGCTTTAGGGCACTGAAGGTCTGAAATGGTTGTTTGATGCTCTAGAACGACGCTGTGACTATAGTCCACCCTCACCTTGGAGAGAGTGCCGGCCTCAACATCAGAGACCAGGATGTGTCCACAACTGTCAGTGTCCACGCCCCAGGGCATCTGGAAGGAATCTTTGATTGTCAACATGTGATTCCCCCTGGATGTGAACACTTTTACAGCTTTATCACCTGCATCAGTCACAACCACGTGACCAGCTGGGGTCACTGCCACATCCACTGGGTAACAGATGTCCCCACTGGCTGCTCCTTTTCGCCCAAAGCTGTGCAGCTTCTTTCCCTGTAGATTGAACACCACCACTCTCTTTTCTCCATCATGGACCACAACTATTGTTCCTGAGGACCCCAAAACAGCTATTCCAGTTGGGTTGATAAGAGTCCCCCACCCACCAAATGCAGTACGCAGGAGAAGAGTTGTGCACGTCAGAGCTGCGGGAAAGATAAAACCAGCTTTTGCTCTACACGGAGGAGCAGACGGTGAGGGACTTTGAGACAACAGAAGATCCTTTAGGTCACTAAGAACCTGGCAGTGGGAGGTGCTGTCAACACTGCATAACTGTCGACAGAAAGGGCACTCCAGCTTCCTCAGGAGAGGGTGGGACAAAGCTGTGATGCATTCCAGACAGAGTACATGGCCACAGGAAAGGTTCTGCGGTCTGCGCTCCCTTTGCTGACAGCTAAACGTCTCGAAGCAGACTTTGCACTCCAGTAGGTTGATCTGTATCTCTCTGATGATCCCCTCTGGACTGAGGCAGCCACGATGTTGGAGACTCTTAGCCATGACTGAAATATCCTGTTCTTTAAACCCTGTGGGATGGTTCAGTCAGCTGATGCAGGCAGCAGCAAATTCAGGAAACCAAAATAGAACGCGTGCCAATTTACGTGGTGAAATAGAGAATCATGGAGAGAGGCATATGAAGCACAATTTTGTGTAAGCACTCGTGCCCTGGGCTTTTAGGCCTCAACTGTCACGTGGTATTTTGCACATAACTAAGGCTCTCTGCTGCCCTCCTTTGGAACAGTCACAGAACCCAAATTGCAGATATCACAGAGTAAATTCAGTGACAAAAAAGCCTGTATATTACTTTTAAAAAAGGAAAGAAAGAAATATGCCTGGCTGGAGTTCAGTGCACAATCTTAAATGTGCAACAGTGTGTCAGCCACAGCTCTGCTACTACTCATGTTTATTTCCAAAGGAACAGCAACCGTACCTTCAACTACATCTTGCTGTAGGTCAGCATGCGGCAGCTATTTCAGTCTGAGTTTCATGCTGTGCAGACGGAGTGAAATCTGATCTGTTATGGGCCGCGCTTGAATCAGCCAATCCAGCCCTCCTTTGCTGCAGCGGGACACCCCTCAGGGGTCAAACAATGTCATTTAAAATTTCTCTTGTTAAGTACGCAAACACAGAGGGGCTTCCTGCTAATAGGAATGTGACAGCAAGTAAAAACGACCAAACAAGATTAGGAGGAAATGAAAACACTTTTAATACATTTCACAGTGGAAAAGAACAGCACAGGTCGTTTTCAGCAGAATTGTTTTTGGCAAATGACATCTAAATCCACAGACGAGGTCCTATTTAGTGTCTACTTTATGTAGCACGGGAGCCAGGTCTGTTCCAGAGAGGTCAGTGTCTGGATTGTCAAGGATTATGAGGGATAGTATATCTGTACTGAGATGATACTGACACATGAAATGGAAATATAACCTTCAAATAAAATACTCAAGGCCAGAAGAATCAAAGACACACAAAAAAATCAGTCTTAATAGAAACTGAAAGAAGATAGGAGTTAAAAAAACAAAACAAACATGCAAACAGGCACAAGGGGTGAATTAAAATGTTACCACGACAGTGAAAAAGGTTCACATAACAATACTGGCATCTTGCTGTGTGGTGAATACAAAGACTCTTGTAACGGTTTCCTACTACAACACTTGTTTTGATTGGAGTCAGCCATGCAAATGCAATATACGCAACAAGGTCAATCCAGACACAGACAGAAAAACTGACAATACACATGCAGTAATTTGAATAATTAGCTTCTCTTATTAGTTAAAAAAAAAAAAAGAAGAAAAGAAAAGAAAAGAAAAGAAAAGAAAAAAAATTAGCAGCCACAGGAGGACAAGGAGAGTAAAATCACTCAAGGTCACAATGATTCACAAAATACTCGAACATTACTTAATGTACAGTATTTTCAATAAACTTTCTGCAAAGTGCTTAAACTGTGTGCTTTGCTTCATTACAGGCCAAACGCAGACCCAAGCCGGTGATCCTACCACGCTAAAGCTGTCTGGTATTGAACTCCTGCCCACATTCAAGTTAAAAAACATAAAATAGTGAACATCTATGATGTAAATAGATAATCAGTGACAGACATTTATATAAAAATGCTTTAGCTTCTTTTGTGCTATAAACATAGACGCTCCACTAAGTGATAAATTCTACATAATGGCTTTTAACATTGAAATGGGTTTGATACCAGAGTTGATATAAACCAGTCAATTGTACATTAGCCTTTAATGATACTGCTTCATAGGATAACTGAATTATAGCTCACTAGCTACAATGATCATGCAATTATATTTAGAAATGGCAGTTTTTGTTGCCACACCTTTCTCTCACACACTCGCACAAAATAAAATTCTCCCACTCTTTCATCCAAAAAGCAAACACAAAAAAAAGTGATCAGTGGTTTAGGAGCTTTTATGACTACAGCACACACCAACGTGTGTATCTCTGTAGTCTGAGCCACTGTGCACTCCTAATAACACTGCATGGACCTGTTTTTCCACTTCTGCTGTCTGCACTCCATCTACTGTAGGTGGGTGGCTTTCTAGGCTTCGGTTACATCAGGAAGTGGTCGTAGCTTTACCCTCTTCTCCATCTGTAATCTTTCACACTTTGGGTTACCCAACAGCCTCCGCCTCCAACTCCTACTGGCTGTCGAGGCCGTTGATGGATTTGGTCTTTCCTGAGTCCTTCTTTCTCTGTCTGGCTTTAGGGCTGTCACCGTCTACATCAGTTTCTCCTGAAACATGAAGCTCACATATTTCAAATGAACCCATAAAGAGATGTAACTGCACTGTGTTTCTTCTCATACATGTATGAGTATGCATATGTAAAGCACGATAATAAACACTAGAGGTCACCCATTTACAAGACAGCAACTGAATACTGGTATGCATTTTTTAATGTGGTGTGCTGGATGAATTACAGTGAAGTCAGTGTACCTTTAAATCCCTCATACACATGGTCAGCAAACTCTGCAAAATTACTGTCTTCACATTCTGAGAGGCTCTGAGGGGAGAAAAGGTTTAAGACACATGACACACACATACCTGTAACTGGACAGAGACCATACTGTACATGCATCACGGCTAACTGACTCCGTACAGCTTTCTCTGTAAACAACCCGATAACAACCCCTACAAGGAAAACCTTGAATGTTAATATTTACTAATGATCTTTGATGATTATTTAGCTACAGAGCATTAAGCATGGTTGGCTTCACCCAGGACATTTGGCCTTTTGCCATTCAGGCACAGATGTCAGTTTGTTGTAGCTTTATTTAGACGTAACAAGAGTTTACAGAAAGGCACTGAAGTGTGATGCCTGATGCTATTGCACTGATCTATATGTGAGTAAAGTTTTTTATATTGTTAATGATTGTGGGTGTGGGGTATGGCCAACCAAACCGTGTATTTGTTAGAAAGACTGAGAATAAAGAAACAAGTTGGGATTGAAATTAACTCCAATTTGCACGTTTTAAGTGCTTTTATGGATATTCACATTGTTTTTCCTAATTCCGATCATTCCTGTCCTCAACAGATCTGAAAAACTTCAGACTCCTGGCAACCACAGGTCACTAAGAAAACTATATTTTCTGTGAGACCGGTTGGCAAGGTGTTGCTAGTGGTCGCTGGTTGAAAATGGTCATATACGGTGCTGCACCGATAGCCTCTTAACACTTACTAGCTATCAGCTGAGCAGGGATACTTTTACTTTGAAAGTGTGACACCTTCAGAGTAAAAGTTGTCTCATTTGAAATGTTTTGGTTGCAGTGGTAAAGCACAGCTTTCACTTTGAGGGGGATTGTTCTCAGTTTCTTGTTGCACTGCTCTTCAAGTTCCACTACTGCTCTGTGAATAGTTCGTCTTGGTAAGTTTTTGGTGCAGGGACTACACTAGTTTCCAGAGGCTGCCAGGGGATTGTCGACTGGTCTGTAGGCCTGTGTGACTAAGGCCTTAAATTCTTTGTAAATGCTTCAAGGTCTAAAGCAGTTAAATGGAAAAACTCATGAAAGCTGAAGCAATAAACATACCTTTTCCCTTGGACCATATGTTTCTGCGTACCATACCATTCCATACAGGCACAGGAATGTAATGAAGGCCTAAAAACAGAATGAAGGGAACAGAAACTGTAAAATGATTCATGGAAAATGTGTAAAAAATTACTTGCAGCATTCATCATATGTTAGAATATTCATATTAAAAAACAAAGATATATGTATAAAATAAATTATACGCATTTCAGTGCACGATAGACCTTACCAAACACAACAGCCAGAGGATCACATAGAGGATCTGTGTTTTTGAGAACAAGTCCTGCCCAAACTTAATGCATGCCAAAGCCTCCAGAAAGGCTATTGCCCTGTGAATGAGAGGGAGGGGGCAAAACAAACACATAGTTCAGTAGTTTAACTCACTGGTAGCAAAAAGGAGAGAAATCCAAACCTAAAAATAACATCCAAATCAAACATGTCAGTTTTGGGCTTTTATCTGAGAGCAGTGCTTGGGTCACTGACCTACACATTTGAACTTTTTTGGATAAAAATATTCCTGATGTAGGTCAGCTGTTTGACAGCTTAGTCCTTGAGTGAGGCAGTGAAATGCCTGCATGAATACCACTGTTCATAATCTCTGGTAGCTCAGGTAACATCTCCTCCTTGAGCTGCTGTCACTGCCCATGGCTATGTGTACACAGCACTACATGTTCATAGGAATACAAGATGTTAAGCAGGCTTATTATTAACAATCTTTAAAATCAAGTTACTTACCCAAATACCCAACACTGGGTCCCAACTCTCTTGCACTGTGTGTCTGTTAGGTATGCATAATACTGCCTAAAGGAAAAAACAAAGCAAATTTTTAGCAAATTTCACTGGAACTTCTAGTCTGTGTCTCTGTTTCCTTTTACCCACCTGCCACATAATGAGGGTAAATGCATGAAATGATATACCTTACTGTTGGAGCTGTGATGATACCGATGAACAGGATTCGACACCAGCTAAGAGCATGGCTTGCAGGAAAGACGAAAATGTGCTTAAGGAAGAATGTGTTCAACTCAGTAAGCTGTGAAAAAAATGATAAAAAGAACTATAGTTAAAAACAAAAGCAAGTATAGCATTGTTTACAATTATTCAGACAGTAGGACATTTCTATTCATTTTACCATACTGAAACTTTAAACTTAAACTCACAAAACTCTATAATATACTCTAGCCGGCCACTTTGTTGGGTACACCTGTTGCACTTGTGCATAACGCAAGTATTTAATCAACCACCCGCTGAAGTTAGATGGAACCTTAAAGCAGATGTGCTACCTCAGCAGAAGACCACAGCGGGTGACACTCCTAACAGCTAAAAATAGGAAACTGAGGCTACAATTTGCATAAGTTCATCAATCTTGAAAAACAGAAGTTTGGAAAAACATAGCCTGGTCTGATGAAACATGATTTCTGACACCAAAGCATGGATCCAATCTCTCTTATATAAACAGCTCAGGTTGCTGGTGATGTAATGGTGTTGGGAATATTGACATAAGATAACTCACCATGTAGCACACCTCAGATAAACTTCACAAACTGGTTTCTTGAACTCGAAAATGAGTTCACTCATTCACTCACTGTAGGTCTGTGCGATATGACCAAAATCTCATATCCCGATATAAGAATTCTATCGTCCCGATAACGATATAAATCACAAAAATGTAACATTTTCTGTAAATTCTGTGAATCTCGGGCAGCTCGACTTGCGTGAAGTGTTTCCAGCTGCGCGTCCTTTACCCGGAGTCGAGTGTTTTAACCGATGCATGAAACTATACATTTTTAGACATAAGTTGTAAAGGCCGCCGTTTTCTTTGTATTTATTACACGGCGTGCTGCGGGGAAAAGCCTGTTCTAACGTTTGAGTCTAAGGTTTATTTTTTAGCACCTGGCGGCTCTTTTTTACTTCTCATCCGTAAACACTCTGCTCTTTCACGTGATTCAGTTTATTTTGAAAAGTCTCAACAGGATCTTGAGCTTTATTGTGAAAGGTGTATGTGGAACATAAACAAGCGGACATGCGAAGGTGTTACCGTCGCTGTTGCTAACGACAACGCATAAAAACAGGCGCTTGTCCGTCTGTAGTGTGGTTATATTAAATATAAGAGAAAGAGAGAACTTTAAGAAATTAATATAGCCACTACAGTGACCATCAGAACGATGAAAAAATATTGCCGTAAACAGTTTATTTTGCAACACCACGAAACAAGCGATAGCGTAAAGTGAAACTATAGACGTTTTTATATCATGATCCGATATATATCGTTATATCGAACAGCCCTAACTCACTGTGTACTCAAATGGCCTCCACTGCCACCAGATCTCAATCCAAGAGAGCGCCTTTGGGATGTGCTTAATGTAAGATTCACATCATGAATGTGCAGCTGATAAATCTGCATCAACTGTGTGAGGCTGTCATGTTGATATGGACCTAAATCTCAGGAATGTTTCAGCACCTTTTTGAATCTGTACATGAATAATTAAGGCACATCTGAAGGCAAATGTGGTCTTAAGACAAAAAAAATATATTAGCATGTACTACTAGTTATAAACAGAACTGCATTACCCTTTTTAATATTAACATACTGTATTATAAAATATAATTTAAAGGATGCAAAGGCAGCCAGGAAAACTTGCAGTTCAACTTTTCCCATCATATTTTAGCATTTTTAAAATCAAGCAGATAATATGAGAAGGACTTGGCTGTGAATACAGAAATGTTGCTGATATATGTTAATTAGATCTAATACAATTAGCCCTTTAGACCTCTGCAGTCTGTTCAGTGTCATCAAACTACATTTACTCTCATGAGGTTCACTTGTTGTTCCACCAGGTTTTTTAAGGATCTAACATTTCTCTCACATGTGTATGCCACATTAGAATAAGCACATAATTAAAATTTGTATTAATCAAATGTATGCTGTATTTGTTTATAGATCAGCTATGTACTGTTGTTAAGTTGACTGAATGGGTTCACATCCAGCCTGTACAACAACCGTGCAGGAAAAATATAGTAAGCTGTAAAGCTCTGATTTAATAAAATAGATCACTGTATATTTTATCATTGTTCAGGTAATTATTCAGACAAACAATATCATCCACGGTTTTTTGTTGTAGGTGGGAGGACCACATCACAACAAACTAAATGTGAGGCAAACACTGTGTCTGTGTGGGGAATAAAGTGGGAAAACAGCAACAGTACTGAGAGGTAATCTGAACACCTTCAATTTTATTTCTCTGTTAACTTTATTTCTCTTAACACTTTTTTTTTTTTATTTCGGGCTGTATGTGTCCATAAATTGGCATACTTTTTTGAGCCATATCTGACAATTTTGGCTATTTTTTAATCCAAAAATACCCATATATTGCCTCACTTCACTTTGTATTAAACCACCCACGCAAAACTGAAAAACATTTTTCAGCAAAACCCCCACAAAAACTAAATATATCTTGTGAATATAGTAAAAAGCCTTCCCTTTGTATCCACGGGGTAAAAACCAGACAATGGAAAAGTGCATGTCCTGCAGAAGTAGTCAAACTGTGGGACACTATCTGAAGATGTGGGACAAGTAATAAAAACGCTGCACAGTCCCACATCAAAACAGGAATCTGGTCACGCTGGTGGGAGAATATTTATAGCAATTGCACTGCTTACTCATTTCAGAAAAATGTAACATTTACTGAACTAATTTTGGGTTGAATTAAGGACACCATAAAAAAATTCTCTCCCAATGCAAGTCACACTTAAGAGTTTGGCAACAGTCACAGCAGTGCATTTAGAGGGCGCCTTTGTAAAAGCCCGCATTGGCAGATAATGAGGCGGAGGACCCGCAGCAATGTTTTTTCACTCATTTGGCCAGGAGCCTGTGTGGCTGAATTTAGTGAAGAGCAGCTCAACTGTCACCATGTGGAATACAGCTGTGCCATGCGCAAGCTCTTCAACTAATTCTAAAAGACTGCTAATTACTATTTAAGGCCTCAAGAGAGTTCTCAACTGGCTGAGAGAGAGAAAATGGAGGATGGTGCCGTTTCATCACCAAACACAAAAAGTGGAGGAACACCAGCCTTTAGCTTTCATCACCCTGGCAGCCTGTGGCTAGAAAATTTGGCAGCTGTACTCGACTTTCCAGTGGAGAGCAATGAAGCTAACTTAAATTCTCCATCGTTTTCTCATTTTCATAAAATGCTCCCAAGTAGTTCAGCCTGTCTCATTCTCATGGGATAAGCTTTTAACATGCAGCCAGCAGGACACTTGAGCATTATGTGGGTACATGTGGGACAGGTTTTAGATTGCAGCCAATTAGATTAGCCAGGACTTAGACGGCAGAGCACACAGGATGATCTCTGACTAGTCATCACTAAGTCACCATGAGACGACAAAAGCAGATTTCTCACGGACCCACCTGCCAAATGATCATGAACAGGTAGACGCCCGTCACTCGCTGCAGAGAAGACTTTGGGTCAAGCCAGCGTACATAGGTCCAGCTTGCAGGGGTGAACTGCAACACGGCTCGTTTGATCTTCCCTGTGGTGGTGTGGATGTCCCTGGATGGAAAGCATAGAAGGAGGGTTTCAAAGGCATGCAGATAGATTTTCAGTAAGTATTATGTTAATGTTAGCAGACAAAGCTACATGAAAGCAATACCATCACATGAATCATTCAAACCAATCCCCCGTGATAAAGATGTGGGGTTACTTTCAAAACAATTTATGAATCTTATCTACAATATAACTTAGTGCAAAAGAGGATAAAAGTTTAGACATAGCTGTAAACACATCCCACAACATAAACTCATACTTAATACTGGCCCAGTGGTAGGTCCTCATCTCCAAAAAGCGGCAGACAGTCATGCCAAGCCAGATTCCCCCTCCATTACACAGCAGAATATCAAGAATGACTTGGTCCCACCAGCATTCAGCAAAGTTAGGCAGCAGGTGCATGAAGAATAGCTATGGACACAGAAAAAGAACATTTAACAGAATAGTGTACAGAATACATGCACGTAGCCTGCAATATTTTGAAGGAATATGTAAAATCAAACGCCACAATTCTCCACAGGATAAACCACTGACATCCCCAGCTTAGATGACCTGAAAACTTCACCGTTATCAAAAGAAACAAAGAAAGAAAGGCCAGCGGGCAGAGAGAAAGTGACAGCTTGCGATGGCAACCTTATCTGCTGTGTGCATCTCTACCTCAGTAAGTTCCCACGTAATACTGATGGTCCAGCACAATCCATAACTTCGAATGAGAAGTGCCTTCATACCCCATCCCCAGAAATGGCTGAATGCAAAAATGTCAAAATGGCTCAGGATTCTCTCCCAGGTGATGACATGGCAGTTCACAGCGTATTCCTGCAAGCAGAAGTGCATGCAGCCTCATTAAAATGATTAATAATCCCTCGGATAGTGCCGCAAGTAGAGCATGTAAATCAACAGGAAAATGATTTTTGCTGCAAGCCTCCATCGCTCACCATTATGTCTGCCTCTCTTTTGGCATAGCGCAGGTTTGGATCCAGCCAATACATCAACTGCTTCACCTGCTGCCAGTTGAGGAAAATGATGAAAACCAGGAACAGGAAGTAGAGAACACTCAGACCTTGGCAACAGAAGGACACAATGTTAGTAGAGGAAAACCAAAGATCTGAATAAAGATAGATTGTGTGAAAAATACTCACCAAAGACTATTCGCCATATCGCTGGGTGTGGCCTGGTGAATGGACCTAAAGAGAGGTATATTAAGACGCTGCATGAAAGACATGTAGTAACAAAGTTCTCTTGACTTCTCAGATAGGGTAGAAAATAGCCATGTGGGTAGCAGTTCATTTTATTTCACTAATGGTAAGGTCTTTACTGAAGTTCCTCTTTCTTTCTAGCTACAGATCTTCTTGTGAGAAGCAGGGTGTTATTTACAGTTCTATAAAACACAAGTGTGTGTGAAGCTCCTTCTAAGCCACTGTAATTAAGGTCCTTTATGCAAACACACTTGACTGAGCTTCACAGAAATAATATTGTGCTGTCTTACCATTAGGAAATGCCAAAACACTGATGACAAGGAAGAAGGAGATGACCAGAATGACCCCCACCCAAAGATTATTGTCAGGGTTTCCATCATCTCTGCAGACAGGGAGGGGAAACAGAAAATTGAAATCTCAGCGACAGTCAGTTAACCTCAGTATCACTGCTTATATTAAGTTAAAAGGCACATTTTTACAAGTATGGTTAACATCCTACTTAAAACTAAAGTGATGTGGATGCTCTTTAAAATTGCTTTAAGCTTCTAAACAGCTGATAAAGAGATCCTATAAAGCAAAAAAAAAAAAAACTTTAAATCTAACATTATGAGTCATGCCCTTGCTAGTTACACTGTTGTAGCTAATGCCAACACAGGAAACAGAGTCCCCTATTTGGTGCCATTGTATAACTAATGGATTATTGCTATCTGACGAGGTTAAAGTCTAATTACCTCACAGATTAAGAATGTGACCCATTCCCAATTACTGTAAGTGCGCAAAGATAACGCTATAGTTAGCTAGCCTCCTAGTGTACCTGGCGCTCTCTGAGCATCACTGTTCCTGCTAGCACAGCTAAGCTAACCCATTAGCGAGCGTTAGCTGTGAGCGACTCACCTTGTGAACGCGAAGTACATCAAACTGAGCACGGTGCATGTCAGCAGCGTTATCGTGTGCGGCTTGTAGAAAAACTCGATTGTGATATCTTCGACCTGCTGCTCGTTTATCATTCGGAAATGCATCCTGTAATTCACATCATCCTTGCTTAAGGTATGGGATCCGCTATACACGGCCGCCATAGCTGGACGCAGCCAGGCAGGAGAGCAGCAGCAGCAGCTCCTCACGGCAGCATGAGAAAGTGAGCCACCTCGACCAGTGAAAAATACCAGGAAACACACCAGACACAGTGGAAATGGTTACATTACTAACGGTACAGCAAGCAAAGCAAGCGGCAGAATTAGAGATGAGGAAAGACTGTTAAGAGTCAAACTGTTCACTTCTGATGTTGATTGGTTTGCGTGCTTGCTGGGAGTGTCTCGAGGCGGAAGAGTTCACGTGCTCGTGTGCTGATTGTTTTTAGCATGGCTTCCAGGCAGGGACTTTATGGCATGAGTGACTGCGCACGTTCTTGACTTCAAAAATCTCTCAGTTAATTATGTGACTACACAAAAACGCCTTAATAAAGCAATGCATAGGTTTTGGTGTCTTGCACAAATTACAGGCGGACAACCGTTTGCATGTAAAATGAACGCGTTTCCTGAGTGTTTTCTCAGAATTGGATGCGTCACTTGTTTAAAGACTTAAGTTGGTGCGTGCTTGTCTCCCCCCTGTGGCCCCTTATGGTTTCACATGCCGTGTTAAACAAAGCTCTCCGCTCCCTGCAGGGGTCAGAGGCATCCTTTATACCAGCGGTCCCCAACCCTTTTTGCGCCACGGACCGGTTTATGCCCGACAATATTTTCACGGACCGGCCTTTAGGGTGCCGCGGATAAATACAACAAAATAAAACTAGTACCGGTACCGAAAAAAAGGAGATTTATTCATAACACACGTGAAAAGACCCAGGAAAACCGAGTTAACGATAAAAACGATAACAAAATAACGCTTAAAAACCCTGAAAACCATATTTTTCACACCTGAGCCTCAACTCTCGTGGCCCGGTACCAAACGACTCACGGGGCTTGGGGACCGCTGCTTTATACAGCCTTTCATCTGAGGTAAAAGAAGTACTCGCACTTAAAACAAATACTTTTCACATTTTACCTAAGTAAAAATATTTAAATGAAATGTGCAAAAAGTGCTTAAAGTATGAAAGTAAATCATTAGATATCAGGATATGTTTTTATTTACTTTATGGAAGATGAGCAGTCTAGACATGATTATATAAATTTTATATACTGCAGCCGCTAAATTAATCGTATAACAATCTCTTTCCTTCGACTGCTACCTTTAAAGGTCATCATCTACTGCCATCCAATTCTTCTTCGTCTGTCACGTCACAGCATGACCTCCTTCAGTACATCGATGAATCTTCTCTGTGGTCTTTATCCCATTTTTCTCCTGCCTGGAAGCTCCATGTTTCAGCATACTTTGCCCAGTATAGCTAATATCCCGGCTCTGCACATGTCCAAACTATCTCAGCCTTGGCTCTCTAATTTTTCTCCAAAGTGCTCAACCTCAGCTCTGAAGTACTCATTTTAAATCCTGCTCATTCTGGTCACTCCCTAAGCATCTTCAGCTCTGCCAACTCCAACTTGGCTTCATGACTGTTTTTAGTTGTTGTTCTTTTGTTTTCCAGCCTTTCCTGTCCAGCAGCTTTATAAGATTGAATCACGGTGTTGCATGCATTGTTGTGTCAAACACATTAGCTTTGCCACGAGAAGTTCTATAAACTCTCTATAGGCTTGTCTTGTTAGTCAGTTTCTTTGTGTTATTTTTATATTATTAATATATAGTGTAACTGTAACACTACCAAAGCTGACAGACAGGGAGGGCCTCATTTTTTTTGTCTGTATCCAAACCAGAGATCACACCCGATCTCACAAACATAAATTTACTAACAGTAAAATAAGCTATTATTATTCCATGGGCGGCTGTGATTAAGGTGGTAGAGCGGTCATCTACCAATCAGAACATCAGTGGATCACCATGTGTCAAAGTATCCCTGGGCAATGCTGAACACTGAGTTCCCCCAAATGCCTCCATCAAAATGTAAACGTTAGTCAAAGCACTTAGGCATACATAAAAGTGCTGTATGAATGCACTCTGTGTTTAAAACACACTTTTCTAAACTTGCATTGCAAAGTTCAATACATGGGAAAATACTATTGCGTCTAAACTTACTGTAAAGCAATACAGTGACTGATTATTATCTCAGTACACAAGCAGCAAAGCAAGTTTGTTGAAGAAAAAGGGGCCCGTGCAATAAAAGCAATTTAAAATAAAAGTGAAAATACGCAACAGTAGCAAAGATCAAGTGAAATCAAGTGAAACCAGGAAATGTTCTGATTGATGTGCATCTTAAGAAAACATTTAAAAGAGGTCGCCAACAGTGCTGACCTCATTTCAGGATCAGATAAGTGTCCTCTGCCCAAGGACCTCAACTACAAGCACGCCATTATATAGCTGTGTTATGTTACATATATACCAGATCTTAGAAGTCACTAAATCCTAAAATCAGTTCTAAAACAAGCTATTTGTCATATTCGGTGACCTTTGTTTCATCATTTTAGGTTTTTAAAGTAATAATTACCTGTGATCTGAGAAAGTGGGGCGGAAAATAAAACACATTATTTCCTTCTTAAATACGCGCAAGTCCAAAGCAGATATTGACACAAAATCAAGTAACACACAAAAATTTATTTATAAAGCACATTTAAAACCAAAGTGCTTTACAGTGAAAAGAAAGCGAAAAAAAAGAAAGACTTCCTCTCGAAACGTTCACACTATCTGCACAAAATAACAAAAAGCGCCCCTCCATCTGCGGCCCTAAAGATCAACAGTTACTGAATACGTGATGAAAGTACAAACACCTTAAAAGTAAATAAATCTGCTCAGTTGCTTTATTTTACTGACGAGTGTCTGTGTCATTTTTCATAAACAGCAGAAAACAGCTGCAAAGGCAGCTGATTTTTTTTACAAGATTTTAGGATCGCGCAGAACAATAAAAAGTTCTTTACACACAATATATCCAAATACCTTGTTCTTACTTTATGTTTCTTTATACACTATATATCTTTAAATTGCTATCAATAATCAGTTATTATAATTATATTTACACATATAAAGTATTTGTTCCCATTAAAACTATTACATCTTACAGACTGCATTGCATGCTTCACTTATTTTCTACTTTGTAGCAAACATAAAATAACCCTTGCTTCTCGGATTCTTTTGTGCATGTTGTATCGGGGTAGTAATACATTTACACAGGATACAGAGCAAAACACACAGAGAACTGTTTATTTAAAAGTATATGTGCTGATTCACAAACACCATAAAAAACACATAATGCTAAAATGCATTAAACAGCAAGCAGTTAAATCAGTGTTTACAAATGGCAAAAAATACAAATACTGAGATTTTTTGAAAGTTTAAATTTCAGGAAAGTTTGAGGAATTCTGTCAGCTTGTCTGCTCAAGGATCCGGGGAGCAAAAATCTCTGTGTTATCGTAAAAGTCAGAGACGTAAAATCAAACTAGGAGTTGATGACAAGCACTGGAGTCCAGCGGCACCGAGCTCACACCTGTATTATGTTTCTCCACAAATATTCTTGTTAAAAAATTATTAATGTTCAGAATTATGGTTTGCATCTCATTAAAAAAACAACTACTGTACGTTTACCTTTTTGCAAAAATCAAAGACAGCTTACAAACACACTTTTTCCTTTTTTTTACTCAATACAGATGTGGCCGCTGCTTTCATATGATCCAGAAGTAAACAGGGGTTGCAACTTGTGACTATTCAAAAAGAAAAATAATACATACAAGTTATACTTGAGCAGCAGTGCATGACAAATACAGGCTTTCACAGTCGTTGTTTGTTGCATGCTGAGGAGCATATGACACTGACAGGAAAGTTAAATGTAGGTCGTTCGCGGGTTTCCATCTGTCACTAAAATTCAGTCTCCCTGTTTCAGCAGTACGGTGGGCTGCAGAGAAAAACGATGAAGATCATTATTATTATTATTATTATTATTTATAAAATATCTTGTTTTTGCTACAACTGTCTTGGAGTATGTAAAAAAAAAAGACATACCAAAGTGTTGAAATGTTCTCTGCACACAGCTTTGCTCAACCAGTAGATCAAGAATATGGCTATCAAATTTTCAACAACCAGCAGGGTCATTATCAGCACGCTGATTCCTTGAGCCACCTGTAAAGCAAATCAAAAGCAGGTCGAAGTAGTTCAACTTAACTTGGAATTAAAAAGAAAAAGCAAACCAAACAAAACGAGAGTGACTGTAAGCCGCAGCTTACCTTGGCATCGGTAGGATGATAAGGAAAGAAGACCAAGGCGAGAGAAAATGCTGCAACTGACCAGAAGAAGCTGATAATGTTCAGAGAGAACGACAGCTTTGTCTGAAAGATTAGAAAACACATTTCATTAGAAGCATCAACCGCACCAGTGCTACCAATGTGGGTTTAGCGTGTTCCCCATTTAGGACAACAGTCTGAGTTCGAAAGAAGAACTTTTTAAAGAAGCTCTCCGTTCAGGTTCAAGTGAATGTTACATATCTATAACTGAACGCATCTGTGTAAAACCATAAAAACTGTTTCCTGACATAATGAAGTAATGATAATTAATACATGCATAATAATATATTTTTTTCCCCTGATCAAGGCAATAGTCACTGTTATGTCATAATTTTTATGCCAAATTGTATGTAATCAGCAGAAATTTTCTTTTCTATGAAAAGTAATTTCACATGAAAACAAAACCTTAATTTTAAATCAAATTACTCACCACATGCATGTTTGGAAATTTTCCTGCAGCAAAGGACAGCATACCACAGACCACAAACTGCAATAATAATACACATAAATTGTTGAAAGCATGAAAAAAATTCTTTCCAAATAACAAAAAGTTTTAGCAATTTGCTTAAATCCCCCCAAAACAAAGCATTTTTGTTTGTTTTTACCAGAATACTCGGTAGAGTGTAGAGGAGCACGCTTGGACTGTTTTTTTGAACCAGTCCAAGTGTGAAAAGAAACACACCAGCGATGGCTTGAGCTGCCTGATAAAAAAGAGAAATCATACTAATAAGCAGAAAATAGTGTGCATAATGTATAAACAAGCAGGGAATTATTTGGATGAAATGCAAATTATTTCTTTACACTTATTTAATGCACGGGCGCCTGCCTTTCCATCCGCTTAGAAGGAAGTTTAAACTTACTCCCATAGGTGTAGGTTTCCCCTTAATAACAAAGACCTTGTAGGAGTCTCTGAAGACACAGTGGAATTTCTCTGGCATCAGCTGACCATCTCGGAGATCCCTGAGACTTCCAATTGGAATGGTGATGATCATCGATTCATCACATACGAATGTCTTCCTCATTCTCCTGTGAACGAGATGAAAACTCTTTTAAGCACCTTGTAGCAGTTGCTGAGGTGATCTCTGCAAAACACGCAATACCTTTTTTCTTCTTCCCCTCTGAAGTTGATTCAGACTTGAATTTCGCTTCTTTGGCTCTTCTTTGAGTTTGACAAGGAAATGACCTGACGCATCAGTTGTCTTTGTTTCTGAAATCCCCCCC